AGGAATGAACTGGATAGCAGGAATATCCTCTAGACCTGGGAGATCTTGCTTATTCTCTGCAGTAGCATTGTTGCTTCTGATCTGGCTCCAGTGTGGCCCCAGTCTGCCAGAAGTTGGTGCCTGTTGTTTTGGACTAACCATGCATTTCTGTTCCTAATAAATATTATTTCCTACATGCTCTGTGTGGTGTGGTAGCAGGTATCTAACCACAGCTGTAGGGTAAGAGCTTGAGCTTCATTCTGGACTTTTACCAAAGGCCACCTCCAACTCACCCAGCTGTAAATGGCTACCTGGTCATTTGGATATGGGAGTTGAAGCCAGATGGATGTGATCATAGTATCATAGAAAATTAGGGTTAGAAGGGACCTCAGGAGGTTATCTAGTCCAAACCCCTGCTCAAAGCAGAGCCTTCCCCAACTAGATCATCCCAGCCAGAGCTTTGTTGAGCTAGGCCTTAAAAACCTCCAAGGATGGAGATTCCACATCCTCTGTAAGTAACCTGTTCCAGCGCTTCACCACCCCCCTTGCAAGAAAGTTTTTTCTTAATATCTGCCCAAAACTTCCCTTGCTGCAACTTGAGTCCATTGCTCCTTGTTCTGTCATCTGCCATCACTGAAAACAGTCTAGGTCCAGCTTCTTTTGAACCACCCTTCAGGTAGTTAAAGGCTGCTATCAAATCCCACCCCTTTCTGCAGACTAAATAAGCCTAGTTCCCTGATCTTTTCCTCTTCATCAGTGAATGAACCACTTTGATACATTGCTGGATCCTCTTGCACATAGCAAGCTCCTACCATGTCCCCAAAAGAAGGCTGTCCCCATGCCTTTGTTAGCTCCAAGCACTGCTACTCCCTCTCCCCCTGTGAGAGTGCTGACCTGCAAAACAACTGCTGCAGTCCACCCAGTCTGAATGAGCCACTAGTCTGCTCACAAAGTGAATCCCAGTCTTCAGTGGGCACTTATGTGAAACCAGATTTCAGAGTGACAGGCATGGGAAAGAAGAGAGAGAATTAGATTCAATGGAAGCAAGGGCCTGGCTATTTCAGACTCTGTCCCTTCAGTTTGGTGTCCTCTAGCAGCAGGGAGCTCTACAACAACTGCTGAGGAAAGCCCAGGGCAAGTCTTTCCAGCATGGAGGCAAGGCTGGCCTCACCTGGTGACCTCAGCAATTTAGCAAACTTCTTGTTGCTGCAAATCAGGATCAGCCCCAGACTGACTGAGTGGAAGGCACACCCTACCTCTCATGATCCTCCCCTTACAAGCTCCTGGTAATGGAAAACCACCTACCAGCCATGTTCCTGTCACATGTGTAACAAGGGGCTTGGACAGATGCAGAGAGCAGCCCTGAGTCTGCCTGGCACCTGCTGTAAAGGAGGGCATTAGCTGCAGCATAGTTAAATAGATGATAATGTACAAATTTGCAGGGCCACCAAGGCATGTGCCTACTGTCCCTTGTAATGTGCACACAACTTGCAGATGCACATATGTCCCATGTGTCAGGAGCCACGACAGCAGGCAGGGTCATTGACCCCAGCTGGCCCTGGTTTCCTGAGTGGGTCTGGCTGCCAGTGGCCTAAGTACCCCCAGCTGGCCCAGTTGCTGGCATGGGCATGACTGGCTCTTCTAAGCAGCAGCCCTGTTAGTACCCAGCCAGTTACTTAACAGGAGATATACTTCTCTGTTAGTGCCAGGCTTCTGACCTGTTGTTCCTGGTTTCCTATTCCCTGGGTCCTGCTGATTGGCTTCCTGGTTCCAGCCTGACCCTGTATGCTTTCAGATTGTCTTGCTGGCTCCTTGACCCTGTGAGCTGCCAGACCGCTTTTCTGTTGGCCAGCTCCTGACTTGTAGCATAACCTGGGGATTGTCTATGTTCTGGTCCTGTTCTGATCTTGTTCAGCTCCAGCTCCCTGTTGCAAACCCCTTGGCTAATGATGCTAGGCTGGATCCCTGCTTCTTTTTCCTGATTCCCACCCACCCCTTCCCTCAGCTTGTGATTCTAGTTAAGGTGACCACCTGTGTCTCAGTCTCTTCTAGAGATTGGCCTCCTGACCCGCCTGTTCCTGATTCCCCATGACTCCTGCCTATATCTTCCTGATCTGCCTAGGCTTGTGACCTGCAGGGGTCAAGCCCTGATTGCCTATGGCCTGGTTGTACCCCTGGCACCACTGACACTAAATGATCAGTCTTTCTCTCTGTTCTTCTGGAGTAGCTGTGTTATGGAGGTTCAACAGGAGTAAAATGTCTGGTCAAGCTCAGTACTATATAGAAACCTTTGTACAGAAGAGGCAAGTGTGAGGGCAGTGCCAGCCATATAGTGAAGGCAGCTGGCCCTGCTGGGGGGACCATGCTGGAGGACAGGAACCAGGAGGATGGGGTCACAAGGCCCCTTCTGCAGGGTCCAGAGGGAGGAAAGCCTGAGCAGCCAGAGCCACAACTCCTCCAGCATGTACAAAAGTCGCATGAATGGGTGAGTAACTAACTACTGTACTGAATGCACCTTGAGGTGTTAGCTCGCAGGGGTGGATCACCCCTTGAGCCAGGAGAGATGGGCCAAGAGCTGAACACTCAGGGACTGGCCAGAGGTATGTGCCAGATTCTCCTGTAGACTGGCCTAGGGCTTGCAGCAGGGACCCTGCCAATGACAGCGAGCTCTTCCCTGCTTCGTTTTCATCCTCCCTGCCCCAAAACAGGTTGGGGGCATCTCCAGCACAGTATTCATTGAGCAATGGGGCATGGAATTGAATCCATCAGTGAACAGGTTAAAATAACTCCTTCACTGGAGTGACCTATGCTGTTTAACTATAATGTTGCAGCCCTCCTTCTCCAGCCCACTGGGAGAGATACCTTTCTGGGTATCTCAGCAGGAAGTGCCACTTTGATGAAGTCTCATCAAGGGACATCTGATGGCCCTTGGGGCTCATGCTCTTGGTAGAGGGCAACTACATCCCATTGGTTCATAAGCAAAATTAATTTGGTGGGTTTCCAACATTATTGATATTGAGAGTAGTGCCCCGCAGACTCAGCTGAGTACTGGCTCCCTGGTGCAGGGTGCTGCATAGACACAAAGTGAAAGATGGCTCCTGGTTTGATTAACTTACAATGGGAATAGTCAAGAGTTGGAAAGGAGGTGTAGAAAAGCACCTCACCCTGGTTCTTACCCAGGTTTCCAGCAAGTGCCCTGCCCATTGGACAATTCACCCTCATTTCTGAGAAGAATGGCTCGTTCTTGTAGGCAGTTGATTGATTGATCAGGGGCCAAGGTAAAGGGAGTTTCTTAGGGCTGTGCTGTGTGTGCACACTGCAGGGCTGAGGTATATTTGGACAGCCTTTGTTTCAGACAAAGGAAGTCCTCAGTACAGATCTGTGTGGTCCTCAGTACAGATCAGGCCCATGAGGCTGCCCCAGAATTTAGCAGGAACCATAAGATAAAGGGGGCTTCACCACAGAAAAAACAGGTAAAACCCAGATTTTCTCATTTTAAGGAGAAAGAAGTGGATTTTCTCTCTCTCTTTAAGGAGAAAAAAGTGAATTTTCTTCTTTAACAGAGAAAAACAAGGGAAACAGTGGGTTTCCCCTTGTAGGCTGGTACAGTTTCAGTCTGCAAGGGGCCGGGGGGAGCGGGAGGAGGGCCATCAGGCAGGGGGTGCCACGTGCATGTGTGCATGCACACATTCACATGGCAGCCAGGCAGCATGAGAACAGCTCCTGCAGCTCCCTGCATATAAGTCTGGAGTCAGGGGGGACTGAGGCCCCCCATAGGGAGGGAGGGAATTAGGCAGGGCTGAGGCTGCTGCCCAGCTGGGGTGGGTCATGGGGTTTGGAGCTTGAATGTGCGGCTGCAGGGCCTGGGTGGGGAGCAGGACCGAGCCATGGGCAGCTGGTTTGGGCAGCAGTGTAGGGGGCTGCCTCCCTGTCGCTGCATGCACTCTGCGGGGGAGACATAGAGGGCACGTGCCTCCCAGATTTGTATGCGGGGTGGGACAGATGCAAGCTGCCTGCTGCAGGCTTGGGGCTCCCCACCATGCTGCCCTCCCTCTGGGGCCTCTGCAGTACAGTGGGTGAGACCCACTGTGGGAGGGCAGAGTGGGATGGGGAGAGTTGGTGCCTCTGCTGTGAGCCCCACACTGCGATGGTGAGATGCCGCTTGCCCACCCAGCAGCAGTGGGGGTGGTAGCATAGAGTTGTGCTCCCCTGCTGCTGCCGAGTAGACAGGGGTTACCTTGCCATGGCAGTGCAGGGCTCCCAGCAGTGAGACCGAGCCTCTGTGCCCCACTCTGCCCTCTTGCCCCAGGTCTTGCCCTCTGAGCCACGAAGTGGGGAGGACACCAGGGCCAGGAGCCCCAAGCCCACAGCTGGCAGCCTGCATCCACCCCCTGGCATGGGCTCCACTCTGGCTGCGCAACCCATGGGGAAGCTGGGCTCTGCACTCTGCTCAGGCTGCACCAGATGCTGTCTCCCACAGGCAGAAGCTAGGGTTCAGGTGCTGCTGGGGGGGCAGGGGGTCACAGACCCAGGTTCCCTGGCCCCATAGCCCTGGGAGCTGGGGAACACTCCAGCAGGGCTGGGGGGCAGGGGGCTGTGGGTGGGGAGTGCGGGGCACTGGCATGAGCAAGGCGCCAGTATATCAGGGCTGCTGAGCACCACAAGCAGCAGGGGCAGGGGTGGGGGCAGAGGTGAGGGAGAGAGCTGCAGCTGGACCTGCATCCTGGTGAGTGAATGGGGCAGGAATTAAAAAACCCCAAATCAAATGGCAGAATTTATAAGTATTTAGAATGTGTTTTATTATAGTGACTGAGGCACTGGTAGGCTTCCAAATTGCTTTAAAATTGTAAATAGATCAATAAAACATTATGTTCAATGAATACATACATACGTGTGTGTGTGTGTGTGTAGTGGCATTTCATTTTGATCACAGAAAAACCCAAAATTTGTGTTTTTAATTGGAGAATTTGCAAATTTTTTTAAATCACAGAATTTGGGATTTTTAGAGAGAGAAAATCAGGATCCCTGTTGATAAGGTCTGAAGGATGTCTGTGGTGATGTGCTACTGGAAGAGAAGACTGGAATACCTGGCCAGAATTGGGTGCATTAGTGCAGTTATGTGTATAGAGACTCTAGGCTGGCATAGAAGTGGGTGGTGAGCCAGGGATGAGGGGCACTGCAGAGCCACAGGTGGAGGAAGCCAATGCTGGAATACTGTGGGAGCTGAGGTCTGGGGTGGAGGCTTCTTTCCCTCCATCTGTCTGTATATCTATTGCCAAGTAGCAGCAGATGAAAGGGAAGCTGACCTGCTTCACTGAGCAGAGGCCCAAGGGAGTGACTTGCATCTTGGACTGAAGCAGCAGTGGAGCTCCAAGCTGGCATGGCTTCCTTGGGATGAGTGACCTTCCTGCTCCCATGGCCTTAGGGTCCCTCTAAGTCAGTGCAGGAAGGTATATTGCATTGCCTACTGCATTTATGATGGATTTGGGGGGAATATCAATATGCATGCTAAACCCCTTTCACTGCTGCCAGGAAGTGCAGGTACCCTGGAATCTGTTTCTTTATAAACATCCCTCATTAATCAGGGTGATACTACACAGTACATCCAGGATAGCAGCATTCAGACCATGGACTGAGGCTTTTGGCCATGTGGTCACACCCTTTCCCCAGCAGTGAAGTGGTTAATATTGAAAGCTTGAGGTTATGATGACGTCTGGGTACTTGGGACAGAGCCAAGTAGTACAACCTGCCTGTATCACCTGGACCTGCAGAAAGAGAAGCTCTGGGAAGAATGGCCTCTCTCCTGTGGGCAGGTGATTGGTCGCAGGCCAAGGGGAGGGGACTCTACCTTGGGACTGTGCTGTGCGCCTACAAAGCAGGACTGAGAGGTTCCCGGGCAGCTCTTGTCCCAGGCGCAGGACACCGCTCTCTGGGGGGACAGACTAAGACTGGCAGAGTTTGCAACTCCAGGAGCCCAAACATTCCTCTCATCTGCACCAGCACAGGTGAGTCATGGGGCCTGGAGGTGGGAAGAGAGGCAGGTATTTTCCCTGTCAGTAGCTTGGTAGGAAGCCACTGAAAGTGCAGCTGTGCTCCGAACCCTGGTTCCATGCAAACATTCTGCTCTTACTCAGCTGACAGGCTCCCAGTCCGAGTATCTGAGCTGCTCTTGGGAACTCAGCATGTTTTGCTGACTTTCCACTCCTCTCAGTGCAGCCCAGCTACGGGAGAGGCTGTGTTCTGCTCCTTTCTGTGTACCAGTGCCAGTTGTGTGACTAAGTGTCAGTCAATTGGTGCTGTGCAAATGCAGGGAAGGTAACAGAGCTACAAAAGTGTTAGGGCAGAGTTTGTCCTGCAAAGTCCTTGGTGCTGTGTGAGCGATGGAAAGGACCTAGAGAGAGAACTTGGGTAACGAGTCAACTGTGTAAAAGACATCCTTCTGCTCCCATCCAAATACACAGATTTACTGCAGATCATAATGGTTCCTAATGTGCACAATCTAAAACCATTGACTATTTGCTCAAGTCTTTCTCATTGCATAACTTTCCAATTTTTTCCCCCCGAGAAAACCATAGCAAACCACTAATGAAACAACTGATGTGTCTTCTGTCTGTATGTCAGTCTGCAGTAAAACAATACTGCAAAACAAGCTGTGCTTCATGCACATTTGTGTGTGTTCAGTAAACTCATGCAAAAAACATGACGGACAGGAACTACTCTGAGCTTTTTCAATAGCGGAAGCTGTCTGCAATCACTCTGTCTAGTGCTGTGCAGTTAGGCTCCTATATTTGTGATACTTATATACCAGATTTATTTGGCCATTTTCACCATAGCATCCAAATATATTTTGACTCCCGTTAATGCCACTGAACTAGCAGAGTGAAGGGAAAGCATGTCCTCCTCTTTTTGGTATGTCCTAAATAGCATTAGGTTACTAAATGGTGAGCTCTAAATGCCAGACTGAAGCAGTTTACAGTAGTGACACCCTGTCCTAATTGGCCTTGGTACTACATGAGCAGTCAGTGTTAATGAAAAAATCTCACCAACACATGCATCCCTAGAAGAGCTGTGGACATGGTGTGTATTGAATGTATGTATATGCTTGTTTTAAGCAACAGCAAATAAATGGCCAAGTATGATAGTGGACTACTTTCTTAAACCCCTATATTAAGTTGTTCATCACTGTGGAGAAGACCTGTCTAATCCATACAGAAAGAGAAACATTTTCTGTGAAGAGCCATAATACCAGTGTTACTGGATTAGATGAGGCAAACGGCTATAGTGGAAGACATGATCTGTAGTTCAGCTGGGACTTGACCTTGTATTTCCTGAAGTCAACCCTAATGCTAATTCCATTAAACCACCCATCCTTTCCTACTGTTGCTGTTCTTGTTGATCAGCTGGAGGCTATAGAGACACATGAGTTTGGGGAGGGGATGGAAATGATGCAGAGTGAAGAGAAGTAAACTTTGATTGGCAATGACAATGGTGAGGGTCTGGTGAGGTCAGCTATTTTGTGTACTAAGATAGGACATTGGTCAGGTAAAAGCAGACTCTGGCTTATTTTCTCACACTATTTATACTGCCTTGGGATCAGCTCCAGCAAGGAACTGAGCACCTCAATGGGAGGTGTGAATTGATTTGCTCTCATTTTAATGGGTTGGCCCTTTACTCTGCTTGAAAGGTTGGTGGTATCTCATTGCATGTGCTTTGTGCTTGGTGAATGACTGTATGGACAGTGAATCAGCATAGATGTACAGAGTCTGATGTCTGGGCTGTCCTTTGGCATGCTCTAGCTCTGGAAGAGGTGACCACGATGAGTTCCCAGGGCTGCCCTGGGATATTGTGCAATAACTATCCACAGGAGCAAATATGTTTGCTTAACTATTCTGACTTCACTGGAGGCCAAGGGAACCCCTCCAGGTGGTATCAGGTTACCTAGCAGAGCATTGCACTGTCTGCCTCTCTAGGGTTCCCTGTTCCTCCCAACTCTGTCCACCCCCGTCTCCATGGTGCCAACAGCAATCCTGGATTTCCCTCTGTGTTCATGACTCGACTAGTTAGTGACCAAGGCATGAGCTCATAACAGCTTGTAATTTCCTTGAGGCATGTAATCCACAAGCAGGCAGGAGGATTATCCTGGGAGCTATAAGGGGGAATGGATTAGTTGGGAATAGCTTTTACCCTTAGCCCATCCTAGTTGCAGCCAGGCTTTTCCCATTAATTGCACTCTGCTGGTTGATGAGGCCACGCGTATAAGCCCATCCTTCTAGCCTACCTGCAATACCAAACTATAAGCAAGCTCACCATCCTTTCTAGACTCTGGGAGGATAGAAGTCTGGACAGCCCCATGGGGCCTCTTTCATTGTTCAGGTAAATTGGAGAATGGAAAAACCTGTTCAGAATTTCAGTTCAAATGTGATTCACAACATTCAGGCACTTGCCTGGTGCCCCAATGCTCCCAACACTTGGGCTAAGTACAGAAAGTCAAAGAGCTCAAGGCCAAATCGATTCAATCGTCACAGGTTAGTCTAAACTGTCTAGATTGAACCAATATGCAAGTGCACATTTGATTCTAGAAATGCAGCCATGTGTCTGCAGTGGCCCAGGCCAGAAGCCAGGAAGGGGGTGGGAGCCTAGAGCACGCCTCCCTGCTCAGCTGGAGCAGGCAGCTTGGGCCAAGGCTAACCTGCCCAACCTGCGAGGGAAAGCTTGTGGGTGAGGCATAAAGCAATCTGAGATGCTGGGGAACTGAGATTTAACTTGAATCTGGAGGGGATCTGGGACAGAAGTTGAAAAAATCTATTTAACCTAAATAGGTCAAGTCTGAAAGTACATCAATCCAGGTTTATCTTAAGCCGGTTTTGGCCATTTTGAAAGTGGTTTATGTGCACTGAACTTCTGTTGCATTACAGATTGGAACCAGTTTCTGATAACTTATACCAGTTTATGTGTAATTTCTGAGCTCTGAGTGCTGATGCTCAGACTGTGTGTGGAGGGTGAAAGGATGGGGAAAAAGCAGCAGTGGGGCTAGAACATGTTGGCCCCAAAATGACAGGCTGTGCATCCCCATTTATGGAGGGTGGAGAAGACAGTCTAGCCACTCCAGTGTAGCATTACAGGGAGAGATCATGCTCTGAAAAGCTGAGTGGCTACTTTGAGCCCACATGTGGTTTTTGCTTTCACAGGGTCTGTTATGTGGGGTTAGTCCTCTGCTCAGATGGGCCTGCAACTTTGACACCACAGCTGTGAACAAAGGAACAGTCAGGGTTTGAATTATGGGGGAGCTTGGGGTAGGGGGAAAGGTAGGCTGCACCCCCCCATAAGAGATGAGAGCCCCCCTATAAGATTTGAAAACCATAACCTATGGGGGTCTCCGATGTTATTAGGGCATTGTGATGGGCAGGTCCATTTTTTTGCAGAACCCCCTGCCTCAGCCAAAGTGTAATTTGAACCCTGGGTACAGGAGGCCAGCAGGGATGTTCTGGTGAGGCTGAACTGATAGTATATGTGAGGGTGGGTGCCAGGGAAAAGAGGGATCTGATCTCCTCCTGTCTTCACAGATTGGGGCAGGAATGGGATGCAGCCGCTGGACAGCTGTTGTTGGGAGTCTCTTCGTAGTTGCTGTATTCAGCATCATTGCTCTCATTCTCATTGCTGTGGAGGTGAAGAATGTTCTCCTGCCTCCGGGTACCAAGGTAGGAGCTGTGGCTTTAGCTCAGGCATCTGTCCATGAGTAGCACCTGGATTCTGGGCTGCAATTCAATCTAAAGCATTGACCCAAGGTTTCAGCAGTTTGTGGCAGTTCACAGTGGGGTGAGGACACTGCTTGGGCATGTGGTATCTGGCTTTCCCACTACCTAGTGCTGGTGAGGTCTTCCTTGTGAGCTCAGCTACTGGGGCTTCTGCTTTTGAGCCAACACCCTGGTTTCTATTCCTTAGGCATTACGTATGTCTGTGCATTACAGATGGCCTTTAAACCCGTTGTGGCTAATCTCTGCTCCTGGCCTCTAAGCATCTCTTACTGTTAGCACTTCCAGTTACCCTCTGTGGTACAGCTGCTGGGGTCCAGCTATCTCCTCCTTGCTGGCTTTTGGATTGTAGTGGGGTTGTCCCACTGCTGGTCTACAGAAGTGACATTCGCTGTAATTTTCTGTTTCCCCCCCATTTCCCCTGTAGTACGCGATGGTATTTGATGCGGGGTCCTCACACACCGCTCTCTACATCTACCAGTGGCCAGCAGATAAGGAGAATGACACTGGCATTGTCAGCCAGGTAGAGGCCTGTACTGTTGCAGGTAAGTGGGCTCATGCATTTCTATCTTTTCTCCCTCTCTTTTTAGGCTTTGTAGTATAGTGACCAACTGGCTTGTCTTATTGCCAGCCTCTGGCTTTTACTTTGTTGGAGAAGTAGCTAGTGGAAGACTAGCACCAGCTTACACCTATAGGGCACATTATCAAGGGTTGTGGCTCCATCTTCTAGCTAGTTTATCTTGGCTTCCCATGTGCCTGGCCTTGTAAGTGAACATGAGTTTGCAGTTTCCTCACCTTGTGTTTTAAAACAAAACCACTATCCAGCTCTGAATGAGTAGTTTATCTGTGCCCAAGAGAGGTACGGAAAGGTAGTAGTAGGGAGGTTGCAGTTTGGGATTGAGAAGTATCAGCATAGCTAGAAGGTGAGGAGACTTAGGAATGGACTAGCATGGGCTTGAGTGTCAGGAATTGTCTGCACTGGCGACTAAGAAGTGGTTGCTAGTTGAGACTGAGAGGCTGGAGCTAGGATTAGAAAGGGAAGAAGTATTGTAGCTTAGGAGTGAGGGGTAATGGCAGTGACCCATGAGGGGATCTTGTATTAAGCTGAGCTTTGAAGAAAACTAAATGACTCGCCTTTTTAAGAAGGGTTAAGCTATAATTTCCACCAAACGCAAAGGGTGGCAGAGGAGGGCATGGGAATGTAAACCCAGCACATGCCCGGTCATTCCCCTGCTGAAATCAGAATGGGTATCTCCAGGTACATGTGGGATAGTCTGGCAAGGCACAGGCAGGCAGTGCTAGGCAAAGATTGAAACCTCTGCCCCACAGCTTTGGGCAAAGACCACAGTGCTAAGAGGAGGCTCTGAGGCTGCCATGAGCCAGGTTACTGGTTAACTGAGTTCCAAAGCAAAGGTCCAGGCAGAGGCTTTTGGCAGGTGGGGAAAAGTGAGTGAGCTTGCGCTAATGGAATTAATAGCCGTAGGGACTTGGGGAAGGTAAATATTGATGCACCCATCCTATTTCTGGCCTTGGCCAATGGGAGAGGACAAACTAATTTTCTTATCAAAAATTCCAGAAATAGCACAGGACTCTCTAAAAATAAAATGAGCTGTTTTAATTGCAGTGAACAAAAAGACCCTGTACCATGCACGTCATGAACTAATCTGTACATGTGTCTGTGCATATTTATTTTGTACCTCTACCCTTGCAGGGCTAACAGCAACCTTTCCCCTCCTTAGATAAATAGGGAGACACCCCTGCTAGGCAAATTAATTTCCTGGAACCTAGGTCCATGTTGCTGGTTGGACAGATGCCAAAATCATGGGCAGATGTAATAATAACATAATTACTTGTGGTTTCTCTTCCCTTCCCCACAAAGTGCAGAATGCTTGATTGACCACTTCTTGGTCACCAGAGAGGTTACCATATGCAGCCAAATCGGCTTTGAGTGCTGCCCCTAAGAGACACCCCTCGGGGCAGAGCAGTACTGGTCCAGAGTCCCAGCAGCTCATGGGAAAGCTCACTGAACTTCCACTGGCTGCTGGAAAGGATGAAATATCCATCCATGGCTGTTGCTATTCCACAATGCTTCTAACATAGTTACAAAAGAGCTGAAGAAAACTCCTTGACTGGAGATGGCTGTTCAGTTCTTTTAATGACCAGTCCAGTATTTGCAGGGTTTGAGCCTTGCATGTAACTCTCCGGGCCAGAGATCCGGAAATGTTTTCACCTCATCTTTCGCTGATCCTGATGAGCCCAGGCTCTCACTGAGATACTTTGTTCCAGGACCTGGCATCTCCAGTTACATTAATAATCCCTCTAAGGCCGGAGCTAGTCTGAAGGTGTGTCTGGACAAGGCTATGACAGTCATCCCTGCAAATCAACAAAGGGAGACACCCACCTACCTTGGAGCGACAGCAGGCATGCGGCTGCTGAGGTACCCCCACCATTGCTGTGAAGGAGCACTTTGCAAAGGGGAAGGCCTTTTCTCCACAGCACACTAGATTTGTTCTCTAGTGACCTTATTAGATGCAAGGCCAGTGCAATAGCAGTGGGCGTTAGGAACAAACATGGGAATTTCCTACTCCCCACGTGGCGGAGATCAGTCAGCAGCAATGGGTAAATTAGCTTGGCAACAGTCCACTTAATCTCTCCTGGTACTTTCCGCCAGGCCCAGCTACAGAGCAGTTTAGGTAAGAACCTGTATCCCAACATCCCCTTCAATGGAGCAACCAGGACATGTTGGAGGGGAATGAAGTGGGGGTTAACAGTCTAAAAAAGGAAGGGCATAGCAGTGATCCAGAGGGAAGGGATAGATAGCCACTATGTGATAGCATGGACCACTTCCCTCTTATACCAACGTGCAAGTGAGTGCTGTTCAGGAGTATTGTTTCGGCTCCCTCTCCCTGCTGCTTCCACGCTCAGCACCCCCTGGTTTACTGGCTCTTCCTGACCTTCCCTGAGTTTCCCTTGTCCTCTAGAGCACAGAAAACCTGTAGATGTGGAAACAGGTTCTTTTTTGTCCCCAGAGCATACCTGCTCCTTTGCAGTAGATGCTAAATGTTAGTATCAGTGGCACTTTGAAAGCTTATTGGAGTGCTGTATGGCACCAGCAACCCTTCATCTTGCTGCAGTGACCATGTGCCATGCTGTATCCCATGAGCTCCCAGTAGAATCGCTCTCCTTTCCCTTTGCAGGGAGCTGAACAGCACAAAAGCTGACCAGGTCTTGGCAGAGGTCTCCAAGGCCATTCAAGAGTACCCTGTGGACTTCCAAGGAGCTCGCATCCTCACTGGGAATGAGGAAGGCTCCTTTGGCTGGATCACGGTCAACTACCTGTTGGAGACACTCATCAAGGTCCGTGTTGTGGGCAGAGGGTGGAGGGACAATGAGGGCTTTGTTCGCTGGGGTAACTGCTTTCTTTGGGGAAATGAGTTGGAAAAGACCCACCATGAATGCAGCTCAGCTTTGCTTCCCTGATGCAGTTCCCTTCTGGCCCCTCCCATCATGGCTCTAACTGGGGATTTTCATGGCAAAGGGTGAATCTAAGACAGAAGAAGCTGGAGGCCTGGTCCCTTGCTGCCATGGAGGCTCTGACATGGGAGTAGACTTTTCACACAGTGAGCTGGTGCTTTACCCAGATGGGAGATCCTTAAAATGGATATGAAGCTATGGGGAGCTGAGAGGCAGGGTAGTGCTGAGCTAACTTCCACCTGGGACAGAAGGTCTTATGCAGGTAACTGAAGAAAGGTCATGCTCCCCAAATAAAACTGAGAGTATTGAAACTTGACCTCCACTTCAGCCCAATGCAATGGTCTCGGCTCACTTTTTACTTAAATCTGAATTGACACTGGTGACAAACTAATGTATTTTCTTTTTTTTTTTTTCTTTTTTTTAAACTTAGACCCCAGAGTGGGGTCTGTTTTTGGAACCATTTGAGCTTCTCACCATGCAAATTTGGGCAGTGACTCTTGCTGTAATGTACAAACAAAGCAAGCCAAGTGGCCCTCATGAGAGAGCCTTTGACCTCTGTCCACTTGGGCAGATTTTTAGCAGGTGTGAACTGAATTAGCTCTCCTGATGTCAGTGGGTCTAGGCTGATGGATGTCAGTTGAGGTTCTGTCCCCCTTTATCTTGACTTTGCATTGAGATCAAAATTGTGTTGCTGAAGGTGTGGACTTCATTGGGCGAAATAGAATATCATCTGACCTATGTCCCTATATGCAAAATTTTCGAGGGTGCTAGCTTGGACTTCCTTACAGCCAAATTAATTCCTTGTGCATGGTGGGGGCAGTTCTCCTTTTCAGGGAAATGGGTACATCCGTATGGAACTGAAGTTTTGGGAGCTCTGGACCTTGGAGGAGCCTCAACTCAAATAACCTTCCAGCCTAGTGGCACCATTGAGGACAACAGCACCAAAGTTTTCTTCAGGCTGTATGGCACCAACTACTCGATTTACACTCACAGCTACCTCTGTTATGGGCGAGACCAGGCCTTGAAGATGCTTCTGGCATCTCTAAGCAAGGTATTAACTACTGTGCAGGGTACTATCCTTTCCATCTTCACCTTTTGTAAGTCCCTATCTTATTTTGGTTTTTTGGCACGGCTGATTGTTCATGGCACAAAGTTAGTTGAGACATAATGGACAGCTGAAAGTAATTGAAATATTCAAAGAATTGGTGGCAATTCTTCAAGGGAGGTCCACCTGCTGCACTGCTGACCTGTCTGGGTGGAGTAGAGCAGAAGATACATATTTAGCCACAGGGTGTAGCTACTGTATATTAGCATGGTGCACCTACTGAACACAATGGCTTCCAGTGGGATGTTAAACAGATGATAGTGTTGAGCCCCAGCTCAAGTCTGGGATCGTGCCCGGTATGCAAAAGCCAATAAAGATACCAGGGGTGAAAGTATAAAGATTTATTGCTAGCAATACAAGGTGCAAGCGGAATAATTTCACGTAACAAGCACACAGAGTCTTAATTATGAGCATCTTTTATACAGGAGTATTGGACCTTCATAAGCATTCTTGTTTGCTAATTGGTTATAAGGGAGTGACGCAAGGAGTTCTTTACTGCGCATGTCTCTATACCTGTGTTTTAGCTATGTATCTCATTTCCATACATGTACGTTTCATTAGCATACTTTCTCCCCACCTAGGGGTGTGAATCTTAATATTTAAATCAGCTCTTTGCCCTACTCCACTAATTCTATTTTTGTTTTCAAGTCTCCTTTATCTAAGACTGTCTTCTCCTTATCATTGCAATTGAGCATTAGTTACAGAACAGAGACTTTTGCTTGGGCTATGTGTAGTGGTTTCTAGGTCAAACCTAACATTTTCCCCCTCTGGAGCATTTTTAATTATTTTTATTATAATTGCTCCACTCAATTTGTTTCAACACAAACCTAGTATTCTCAGCTTTCTTCGTTTGTAAAATCATTTGATTCACCTTAGGTCTGAAGATAGATAAGACGACAGGTGAACATTGTATACATAGGATATTTGATTGGTCTTGTTACAAAGGATTCTTCTACCTTGGTTCAATTTGAAGCAATTATTAGTACAATTAACTATTAGGAAACATTCAGAAGCATTAGCTGTTGCCTGAACCCGTACGGAAAACATGTCTCTATTCTTCTCTTTTACAATAGTCCCCCACTTATATATATTCTGATATGTACTTTTCTTCTCTACATTCTTCAGCATAGTATAATTTTGTAAAATTTTTAAAGGGGTTGGTACTGCGATTAAGCATGAGGTAAAAACCAGGTGAGCATTGATCCCTCCCGCTAAGCAGAAGTCCGTTCTATTTAAAATTTCCCGGGCCAGATAAATCCAGACATTTTCCTGAGGGTCAAATTTTTGTTGTAAAAGGGTTTCCCCTCCTATAAGTAGGAGTGGACAGATCAGGGTGCCCCACAATAAAACCTTGAACAATTTCATAATAAGGCTTATAAAACTTAATCAAAGATTGTCAAATTATTCAAAGTTCCTTTCTTTTGAATAGGAATTTCAAGTCTCTTATTGGCTCCACCTTCCACTGTTCTCTGTCTCCGGTCCCGGAGTCTGCAGGGATTCCTTCTTGTTCTGGTCCAGCCACCGGCTTTAGGCGACTGGAATGTATCCAAGTCTTGATTCCTTCGAGCTTTGCGGCCGTCGGGGTCGTTAGAAGTACCCTATATGGGCCTTTCCATCTGGCTCGAAGTGGTTCCTCGTTCCAATCTTTCACAAGGACGTAACTCCCAGGTAATAATCGATTTCCCAGGGCAGGATACTGGTCCTGTGTCTGCAGCACGTCCCGTACCTGCTGATGGATGGAAGACAAAACAGAAACCAAGGACCATACATATTCTCTAATCATTCCCTCTCCTAAAACATGTAACTGTTGTTCAGTACCCATGGGCAGACTCAGAGGGTAAGGCTTACCATACATTATTTCAAACGGGCTTAATCCCAATTTAGAATGTGGTGCGACCCTTACTCGTAACAGGGCCAAGGGTAGGGCCTCTGGCCATTTGAGTCGAGCTTCTTGGCAAATCTTTGCAAGGTGTCTTTTTAAGGTCTGATTCATACGTTCCACCTTTCCACTGGACTGAGGTCTCCAAGGGGTGTGTAAATGCCAGCTGATTCCCAGGAACTCAGAAACCTTCTGAGTAATTTGTGCAATGAAATGTGGGCCATTGTCTGACCCTATTCCTTTTGGAAGTCCGAAGCGAGGTATGATTTCTCGTAGGAGTGTCTTGACTACCTCCCGGGCTTGGGCAGTCCGACATGGGAAGCACTCAACCCAATTAGAGAAAGTGTCCACAAAGACAAGGAGATATTTTATCTCTTGTTGCCGGGGCAACTCAGTAAAATCCACCTGCTATTCTTCTCCTGGCCCATTGCCTATTCTCTGATGTCCTGAAGTTTTTCTTCTCCCTCCTTATGGGTTATTTCTCTGGCAGACCTCACATGTCTCTGATACCTCCTTGGCAGCCTCTCTTAATCCCACTCTAGTTACATAGTAACTGATCCATCTTACCAGGGCCCTGGGTCCGTAGTGGGTACCATGATGAGTGCTCTTTACTACCACATGAACCCAGGCAGCTGGGATGATAATGCGGCCATCCCTTGCTACCAGCCACCCGTGCTCCCCCTTCTTTGCTTGAAACTCTTTTATCAATTGTTTGTCTCTCAGATTTGGCCTTGAAGAATAAACAGCTTCCAATGTTTGCAGGCAGTCATGTACAAGATCTGGTGTGTCAGCCATAGATGGCAGCAGTGTTGCTGGATTTACAGTGCGAAAAATGGCCAATTTTTTT